CGTATGCAAGAAAAATGGAGGTTTTGTCATTTGCAAGGGCCCATTGGCCCAAGGAGTCGTGACTAAAGAGGTGCAGTATCGAGAATTTATTCAGGGACACCCTCGTCGCTTTCGGACATGCTCTCATCGCCGCTGACTTCCATGTTCTCACGCTCCCGCTTGTCCATGAGCTCCTGGAGAGCAGCGTCGTCGTGCTCGGTGACAGCCTTGGGTGCCATCTTGACGACACAGCCACCCCCGGCTTTCTTGATGTCGCTATCGATCCTCTCGATAGCCTCCTCGAGCAACTTGATACCTAGGTTCTTATCCAAGCACTGGCTGGTCAGGACGTACAGGGGAGGAGCGACCAGCTTGACCTTGATCTGGTTCTCGGGGGTGTTGTTCGCCTCGGCAGTGCGAAGAGCGGTCTTGACGGCGTCGATTCCCTCATACCCGAAGCAGGTGACTTCGATATCAGCACGAACTTTAGTCGGGGAGGGAGTCAGCTTCTTGCTGATGTACTGTGTCAATTCCTTCTTGACAGCTTCGCTGGGGAATTCCACATCCTGCCACACGTCGGGGTTCCTATTGATAATATGAGTCATAAGGTCGAAATATGTAGATGGACAGGTTGATCCTACGTGATAGAGATCTTGAAGGCATCGTGAGCATGGCCGTATTTCCGGTTCAGTGGCCATCCGATCTTCTGGTACAACTCCTCAAGGGGAGTCTGAGTGGCTTCGGCGACATGGCGCATGATGGAGTGAACCGCCTTGCTCTTGTTGTACCTCTCTTCACACTTGACGACATCTTCCGGGGAAACTCGACGCTTGGAGAGATCGATGTAACCTGTACACCAATGAAACCTGTTAGACGGAGGGTCTCGAGAACGTTCAGAATCGGCCACACTTGCCCTTCTCCTTGTCAACACGAAGCACGATGACGACCTCGTTGCGGCCAATGCGAATGAGCTTCTGGATACTACGAATACGTCTCCGCGACAGTTCAGACAGCAGGATCATGCCATCAATGTTGTCATATTCGAGGAGCTTCACGTATGCGCCCATTTCGGCGATCTGCAAAATGGAGACAGAGGGATTAGCCCGAGATTCTTGCAATAGAATGACAATGACCATAAGACCGGTCGCATACCTGCTTGACATTGACCATGACATAGCTGTCAACCTCCGGATACTTCTCCTCGTAGAAACGACAATTTGTTAACGACATTTTGGCGGGGCTGCGCTTGATATTAGGCCGGATTCGACAAGGATTTGAGGCTTAAAGACAAATTAAGAGCGCGGATAAACTTTTCTCTGATAGCTCCTATTAGAAGCTCGAAGGTGCGCGACAGGTGCAGAGGGAAGAGGAGGTGCGGCAGCAGGCGAGTTCGACAATCTCAAATCACTTTGTGGCGGTTCAAAACCCACTTTTGGGCTTTGTTGGAGCCCGCATCGAATTCGGGACAGCCATAGGTGCCAGCAGTGCAGTTATATCACGTGGTAAAAAATGGTTTATGTACCGCCCGGCAGAAAAGAATCCAGCTTATCGAAGTTTATCGAGTTTATCGGTTCAGTCTCACCGCTCTTGAATCGGACCAAGGCCAGACTGGAAGTCTCAAAGTCGCAACTCTCTCTGCCATGTCGCTCAGGGTCAATCGACAGCTGTGACGACTGTGTTGAAGCCGGTCGTTGAAAGGTGTTCATCGCTTTGCCTACTGCCTTGACCTGCCCTCCCTCGTCCCTTGGCTTGCTTGGCCAGGCCGCTTCCAGGCACTGACGCCACCGCTCTTCGCATCAGGAGCACCACTTTCGTTGGACCTTGTTGAATCATTTAGCTAATATTTCACGCTCTAGCCTTTCCCCTCTATTTTACTACATTTCTGATTCCTTTCCCTATATCTCTTTCATTTTACCAGGTCATGGCGGTTTTTGAATGATTGTTTATGTCCGCGATTATTGAACGACCAGTGTCTCATATTGTATCCGTATAAGCCATGTCGGATTCCACTTCCCTCCAGGGGACGGGTCAACACCGCTCGGTGCGGGACCGAATATTTGATGTCTTTCGGACTTCTTCCTCAAACAGTCTCGCAGCTATCACTGAGACCAACCCACGGAACTTACCGACATATACTACGGGAGAGCCCGACGCTAGAACTCGTCTGCTGGAATCATACCATGACGGGGAAGCTGTGTGCGGACAGAAGTATTGTCGCCATGGCACTTTCTCCCCGAGACCAGAGCAACAACAAGGCGTCTTGCAATTGAATGCCGGGAGATCAGACCTTTCCGGTGGTTCCAGTGGGAACTCGAGTGGTGGACTTGGACCGGACAACCTACCCTCGTTGGAGTCATCGACGTCCGGATTAGCTGTGAAGAATCGCAACGCACTGTATGTTTTGAAACCTGAAGCGCTATGTGTCTTTCGGAGACATGCCATATTAAAGAGTCTGTTTGTCATGGCTAACCTTCAGCTACTCAGCTACCTCTCGTATTACATCCCATTTTTCAATTGGATTGGCCAGTACCGATGGTCCTTCTTCCGAGGGGACCTCATCTCTGCACTGACTGTTGCATCCATCTACATTCCAATGGCACTCTCGTTGTCGTCGAACCTTGCGCATGCGCCGCCTATCAACGGTCTCTATTCTTTCGTGATCAACCCCTTCGTCTATGCCGTCTTGGGAAGCAGCCCTTTGCTCATCGTTGGCCCAGAAGCAGCAGGGTCATTGCTCACCGGTACGATTGTCAAGACGAGTGTCCGACAGGGACGTTCGCATGAAGATAATGCTGCTGAAAATGCCATGGTGGTGGGAATAGCGACTGCCATGGCAGGCTCGATGATCCTGATTGCTGGACTGACTCGTTTGGGATTTTTGGATAACGTCCTCAGTCGGCCTTTTCTGAGAGGATTCATTACCGCCATTGGCTTTGTTATCTTCGTGGATCAATTGATTCCGGAGGCTGGGCTGGCAGAGAAGGCAAAAGACGCTGGGGTCAGTCACGGCAGTACTGTGGAAAAGCTACTGTTTTTCTTCCGAAATGTGAAGAACTGCCATGGCCTCACGGCCGCAATGTCGTTCAGCAGCTTCGCCATCATCATGGTCTTCCGGTATGTACCGAATCCTTTCCGGACACTGCGTATTCTAACTCGGTGCGCTATTCAGGACATTGAAAAAGACACTGCAGCCGCGCTATCCTCAGGTCGTTTACTTTCCAGACCGTATCTTGGTAGTCATTCTTGCTGCGATTTTGACGTGGCGTCTAGGCTGGGATGAGAAAGGGCTCGAAATCCTGGGTCCCATGAAAGAAACAGGAAATGGCGTCTTTGCGTTCAAATGGCCCTTCCAGTTCAGTCATATGAAGCATGTGCGCGCCGCAATGAGTACCTCTTTCGTTATCGCGCTGCTTGGCTTCTTTGAATCCTCTGTAGCCGCGAAGGGGCTCGGTGAGAGCAGAGACGGCGTTAAGGGTATGGCGGTTAGTCCCAACAGGGAGATGGTGGCTCTCGGCGTGGCCAATGTCGTTGGGGGTTGCTTCATGGCCCTACCTGCGTTTGGTGGGTACGGAAGAAGTAAGGTCAATGCTTCCACTGGAGCTCGAAGCCCCATGAGCAGTATCTTCCTGAGTATCATTACTCTGGTCTGCATTCTAGTACTTCTTCCTTATTTATATTATCTTCCGGTGAGTTCCCCTGTTATAGATTGCTGCCAATTGTGATATTTTATAGAAGCTGATATCATTTAGAAAGCGGTCCTTTCAGCGATGATCTCTGTTGTCGCCTTTTCACTGATTGAGGAATGTCCTCATGATTTGGCGTTCTTCATTCGTCTACGCGGTTGGACTGAATTGGCCTTGATGCTTCTCATCTTCTCCTCGACGATCTTTTATTCACTCGAGTTGGGAATTGCGCTCGGCATCGGGCTTTCTGTCCTGATATTGATTCGGCACTCTACTCAGTCGCGCATTCAAATTCTCGGAAAGATACCGGATACGGGTCGATTCGACAATGCCGAGCTCCATCCCGAGAACGTCCAATTGATCGAGGGTGCCCTTATCGTCAAAATTCCAGAGCCTCTCACTTTTGCCAATACTGGCGATCTTAAGAATCGCCTACGCCGTTTGGAACTATATGGCTCGAGCAGAGTGCATCCATCCTTCCCTCGGATGCGTTCTCCGGAGAACAATAAGAATATAATCTTCGATGTCCATGGTGTCACTAGCATCGACGGATCTGGAACTCAGGTTCTTTTCGAGATCGTGAAAGGATATGCGGACCAGGGGACGCGAGTGTTCTTCTGCCGTCTTCCCAATCGCGACGTCTTCCGAATGTTCGAACGAAGCGGTATTGTGGAGCAATGTGGAGGAATGACGCATTTCGTTCCCAGTGTGGATGAAGCGATCAAACTTGCCGAATCGGAAGAGCAGACAGTCGAAAGCTGAAGTCGTTAGGGATAGAGCAATTTGTCACACGGCCAAACAAGCTGACTATATTTGACCTTCACGATGTATTTGAACGATTGATGATTCTGCATATATTCCGAAACAGCCAGCTGTATTTATAGATTCTTTGAAAGCACGGAGTCAGCGCAAATTTGGTCGTCGATAAGGTTGCGGATTTCCATAGTTATAAGTACATAGACGAGCAAGCACTTCTTTGAATGAGATGATTCAGTGCGCGGAGAACGTGGTCTCTTATTTCTCGCCATTCCTCTGTGTCGGAGATTGTGCGTACTGCATCCCATCTGCGTCACGCCAGGCATCTGCGTAACGTCCTTGCAGAGAAAGTTTGGGCGACATCGCGAGGAGGCGATTCAGCCCAGGCACTCACCCCATGTGCTGGGCCCGATACGTATGCACATCGTCGATACCGGGATAGGCCAGCTCAGAAAACGGCTCATCAACTGCTGCCTGGCGTAGAATATGGCTTTCAGAAACAGCATCGGATCACCTCAAGAGTGAAAGCGAAGGCGTGGTAAGGCTCGAGCAAGTAAGCTCGCTGGGAACAAGTCGTCACGCTCATGTCTGCTCATCACCGCCCATAGCAGCTCGACGTATAACAGCTTGAAGCAGTTCCTCATTCGCCCGCAATAGCAGACGGTCTCTGCTCTCACGAGCTGCTGCAGCACCATCTTCAGAGCTAGCTTGTCCCGACGGTGCGACCAGCTTCATTTTACCTTCGCCGCCTAGGACGAAGCTGCCACATGCGATTTTAGTCAGACGCACGGGTTGATTGACCGAATGGTGGCCGCTCGCCAGATCTCCCAGGTTCAGCTTGATTGCCAAGTGCTTCTCTAGGTAGGTGGACAGGCCTGATAAGACAGAATTCTTCCGGTGAGTCAACTCGGCGTCTAGATTACTTCCACGCACAAACTCCGTGAAGGAGCCACGAGGAATATTGACGTTGAGAGATCTCAGAGCCGGCGCAACGGGCGGCGAAAAGGACAAGGTAAGCTGCGTTTCCTTGATGGTACCTTCGAACATCCGATGAGTGTCGGAAGGTTCTTCATGGTCTCCCCCCATCAGAATGTCGATGTACATCTCTAGGGCCGTACACATGAAAGTCGAGGGTAAGCGAAGAACAGAGCAGTAAGTGTCAAAATTAGCAGACAAGAAAGACATGAAGGTCTGCCGCAGGGGAGTAGGGAACCGCGTCAGTAGTAGCGGGAGCTGAGTGGACTGTTTCCGCCTCGCCGAGGTGCGACGGCCATCTTGTGCTGCAAGAAGAGCAGCTTTGTAGGTGATGTTTTCATACTCTAGAGTGACCAGTATTCCAGAGAGTTTCTCCGAGGTAGCCTCTGTGAAGGGTGCCGATAACGTTTCCCAGACGCAGTCTCTGAGAGATCCGGTTCTGGAAAGGACATCATCATCAACAGCGCCAGCTGCACTTAAAGGAGCCTGAGCACTGGTAAACAGATCCCCTGTAAGGTGAACCCTTAATCTGCTAGCATAAGTTCTCAGGGCGGCCTGATTGCCAAGAAGGGACTGGAATTCTTTCCCATGGTGAAGTGGAGATAGACGGTGCAGCGTCCATGAGGTATTCCAAAGTTGCTGTAAATCAGAGTTTGCCATCATCAAATTCTGAAATGCCTCGGTCTAATAAAGACTTTGGATCACATATCCAAGTCGAGGAAGAGTCCTATCTCGGGAGATATCTACCTGATCGCGATATGGAATAGTTCGCGCTGGAACGCGAATCAGACAAACAAAGCAAACATATTTCCCAAAACAATATACACTTAGGGCTTAGGGTTGTCAGTCAAGAGTGTACGACCGAGAGAAGTCATTTAGACTCTGGTCATGTCAGTGAATAGATTTCCAACCTATACAGAGCCACTATCCTAGCGATAACAATAGATAGAAAGAAAGCGCTCAACCCATTTCTATGCGTCCTCAACTCCGACTGAAATCCATGCTGTACCTAACGCCTGTGTCCCTGACTCCCGGTCAACGAGATCAAAGCAGATTCAAATATACTCTTGCAAAGACAGTCCTCCTCAGGCACTCCAGGCGCTGCCTTCCCGGCAATCCTGACAACCTAGTGCCACGGGGATACTATTCCAGACCCAGATATTCTCTGCGTCATGGGGAAGAGCTCTCCGTGAGGCCAACTCCTCTCTGGCAACATCGAACCAAACATCCTGCACCGATGAATGTAGATGCGATACTGGTGTGGTCTCGAACACCAACGAGTTGATATCGTCTTTCTCGTTCAGCATCAAATCATTATGAAAGTTACGCATGAAATCCTTTCGTTGTACTCGCTGACTGCCGCCATCACCTATCTCTGCAGAGAAGTATTCCACTATTCGAAGAAATGGTGACGCAGTAAGCAGCGAGCCGATCCAGCTGTCATCTGCCACAGGCTCCTCTGGTGGCACAGTATGTCGTAGGTATGAAACGAGCAGATGCATGCAATGGTGCGTGCAGATCAGAGTCGGAGTATTGGTAAATGGGGGCGATCGAAGAATTCCGATCTGCAAATCTCGGTACATGGATTTACGGACTTCTGGGGGTATAGGACCGGACAATCGTCCGGCTTCCATGTCTTGCAAAAGTGCATTTTTTAACTCACGACGGGCAAGATTGTAAGCCTCCAGAAAGTATAGTGTGTAGTACCTGGTAGAAAGAGGGGTCTCATCAGAATCAGTAGCTGGAGGATGATTTGCAACGAGCACTTACATAAGTGGTATGAGGTTGAACCATAGACTGGATTTCCCCCGTTTCAAGAACTCATTGCGCTCATTCCTGGATGGAAACATTGCCTTGACAAAACCTGGCTCGCAGTGGACGAATCGATCCATGACGCGGTCTGCGAGGTAGTAGCAAAGCTTAGAACACAGCTTCGCCCGTCGTCGCAAGCTATGCATATACCGGAACGTGTATAAGTGACCGCCCTTGGCACTTTTGGCGGGAGGGAAAAGGTCTGATAGAAGCACCACATCGTCTTCGGGATTTCGAGTATAGGTTCTCTCACTGTCGATGGGAGATGGTAGCGTTCCATGACGGGCCTGCCGAAGGTATCGGCGCGCGATCAGTTGTTCATGAAAAGTGAGGACTTGACAAAAGGCCTTGCAAACAAGTTTGAGCTGCAGCAGGTCTTTGATACCGCATTGAGCAAAAATCTTGATTTGTATTTCGACGGGCAGGAGATCCCAGGGTGAGGAGGTAGGTACTATGTCGGTTTTCTCGATACTGAGTCCGTATCAGCAATTATGCGCACATATACTGAGCTAATCCCATAAACAAACAGACTTACACCGAGCTCGATGACAGTGAGGATGGGAAGAGACTTTTCCGGGATGGCTTTTTACCCTCTGATTTTCTGCCTTTGCGAATAGCAGCACCAGCTTTCTTTGCATGTTGTCGCAGTTGTTGTAGGATCGCACTCATCATCAAGCAGCGGAAACCATAAGGAGGCCGGCTCCACCTTCGAAGTCAAAGTTAGGGGGGCTGTCACCGGCTCACCATGTAGGGTGAGGATCTCTATAGAAACAATGGCTGTTCTGTCATGAAGGACCTTCAAAGAAAGAAGACAGCTTGCTTACCTCCAGCTTCATTATTGTCATTCTATTCTCCGCTTCCAAGACAGGGACAGAAGCGCCGTGACTAAGCCACGCTTATCTGAACTAAGAATAGTTTGCTGTGCAAAGTACCTACTATTAAAAACATCCTCCAATAGCTTTCACATGTCTGTCAATTTAACAGGAATTGAAGAGAGCTAGCTAGCCAAAGTTTCAAACGGCAGAGTGGATCGGAGGGGAATGTTTGAGCATTGTACCCTTGAAACGAAGCCCTGGTACATCATTTGACTGAAGGCTACCCTCTTCGCCATCATTTATTATTTATTTATATTCAAAATCTCCGAAATGACTGGTGAGATCGCTATTCGCCTGCGATTAGGTTTGTCGTATGTCGATACGACAGCAAACTCTAGATATATATATCGCCCATGAACTCGAAAGTTACGTCATCCGTTCCTGAGGTTGCGCAACGCACGTGGCTAAGCGCAAAAGACCATCAACTGCAGTTGGGCAGCAGTGCCAACTTCCAGAGTTCTCACCAACATTAGCATCGAGCTCAACCAGAAAGTAGAAATGAGCAACAACATCCTCATTGTCGGTGCCAGCAGAGGCCTTGGTGCCTCTCTGAGAAGATTGTACGCATCCAAGGCATCAACAACCAGAGTCTTCGCGACAAGTCGATCCAGTGCCCCTCCAGAAGACAGTTCTGAATCTCGCGTCTCATGGATCCAGAATATTGATATCTCCCAAGCCAATGTTGGTGAAACTCTGGTATCCCAACTGCCTTCATCCACCAAGCTCTCCTCCGTAATCATCACGGCGGGGTATTTCGGGTTCGAGACGTTTGATGACCCCGACTGGGAAAAGGAAGTAAAGATGTATACCACATCTGCCATTGGCCCCGTCTTTGTGGTGCAGCGCCTCGTTAAAGCGGGCCTGCTGGACAAGGGCAGCAAAGTGATATTGGTCAGCAGTGAAAGCGGGAGTATCACATTGCGACACGAAAAGGAGGGCGGGGGAAACTATGGTCATCATGCCAGCAAGGCCGCATTGAATATGGTTGGGAAGCTTCTCAGTCTGGATTTGAAAGAGAAGGGCATTGCTGTCGGGCTGGTACATCCTGGCTTCATGCGCACGGAAATGACCAAGAGTGTCGGGTTCGACAAGTACTGGGATGCCGGTGGAGGTAAGAGGTCATTGACGTGTCTATTGTGCTATAGAGTGACGCTGATCCTATGACTACTTGCAGCCGTTACCCCTGATGAAGCAGCTCAATCTCTGGCCTCGTTCATAGACAGCTTTGACATCAGTCAGACGGGGCAGTTCTGGGCACCACGAGGACCTGGGTAAGTATAGCTTTGGACCAGACAATCAAGCAGGAGGCTTGGTGCTGATTCTTTGACAGGGACATTGGAACTGCAGAAGCTGTTCTAGGGAAAGACTTACCTACTCCGCTACAACTCCCATGGTAGGCTACGGAGAGCCTTGTATCACTTAACCGTACGGGTGAGGGTATGGATGCTTTGCATCCTTTCGAGCGCCGTAGGAGGTTTCGTGTTAAGCAAGACTGTTTCCATCCAATGATAGTATATTTATCCAGAATACAGTCTTGCCCAATGGTCTTGCTAGTAACACTGCTGTTTACGTGGACAGAACATTTGAAAGCTTCTCCATGTAAACACGCTTACCTCCTGCATGGGCATCTTGCGCCATCTCAGACCAGGACAGAACCAGACAGATGTAGTCCGGTTAGTCTACTGACGCTAGGAAATGGTCTGCTGACTACATTTCAGAATGAAGCGGGAAGCTGGAGTGAAAGATGTATCAGCATAATGTTTTGTTTGGCTCCAAAAAAAGCTCGAGTGACTAAAAAAGTGAAATGCATCATCCGTGAATCGAACACGGGCCTCGTCGATGGCAACGACGAATTCTACCACTAGACCAATGATGCTTTACCACGGAGGATTTTTCAGTAATTCAATTTATTTTTCTGTCTTTCGCGAATGCATAGTTAAGCTATTGTCCATTCGATCCCTTCTTGTCTACTTGTGCTACATGGGACTCAGGGTCCGGTAGCGTAGATAGCTGATATGAAATGCAGGTGTCGACCTCAGGCAAATAAGAGTTGATTTGGAATTGCTGGCCTGCAGATGCCGATATCCGAAGCACTGCCTCCGCCCGACTGCGGGATATATTAACTAAGTTCAAAATTTACTCCCTGCGCCTTGAGACTTTCCCAAGGTTGTAGCTGTCCACTTGTACAGTCTCCATCCCAATACGAGGGTTTTATCGCAGCAATCAGTACTTGTCATACGTCACAGCTCCATACCATAAGCCCAAGGATATTTATCATTTGCTGTTCGGGAGGGCAATGCAGAACTAATGGCCGCTAGAAACCATCTGGAAGGCAATGCAGGCTCACGTGGTTGAGCAGATTGCCTGACATCGGCTCTGTGCAGCAGAGAGTACAGGCTACCGGGGCAACAGCTAACAAGGGCATGAAGCTCGCCAGTAGTGGAACATTCTACCATGCCAACCAGGGTTCTTGACTCCTTTGCGTGATAATCTACGCGAGGGCCATTTTTCAAATGCTCCACTATTGAGTGGTGGTTGACACTTGACAGCCGGATAATACGGGACAGATCGTCAACTGCGGCAGTGCTGTGCATTGAGGCTCATGGAGCCGAATACGCAGTTGCCCAAAACGGTATCAGTCTCAGCAGACCAGTGATGAGCGAAGGAGTGGTATGAAAGATAGCTCGCTGTTGATGAGAGCCCATCCGCCATGTAACTCCTACGTATACAGAGGTAGGTGAGGATGGAATGGCAAGTAGTTGCAGTCCGTTAGCACCACGGATTAGCGCATGAAGCAAACAGAGAAGCATTCGAAGCTCGAGAGCCTAAGAAGGACGAAAGGAGCAACTCCAACATACCTTGCTCAGCCCTTTGATGTGGAGAGCATCAAACCATGGTTTGCGCCCGATTGCCCACCAAGTGGGAAAACCAAGACTACATAGCCTGGAGGAGCAGGAGCTAAACTCCTAAGCG